GAGCTGTCGCCCGCAGGCCTTCGCAGAGGAGCTGCATGCCCGCGTGCGCCGGGAGCTGTGGGCCTACAGCGACGAGCGGCTGGGCACGGCCGACCTGCTCCGGCAGCGCTACCCGGGCATTCGGCCCGCGCCCGGCTACCCCAGCCAGCCGGACCACACCGAGAAGCTCACCATGTGGCGCCTGGCCAGCATCGAGCACCACACAGGTAGGCACAGGGGCCTCCCGGCCGCGTCCTCGCTGCTGTCGCCGCCTACCGGGTTCCGTCATCACAGTCCTCTCGCGGTCGCCCCATGCGGGTGCCTGAGCTGGCTGGAGGCTGGCGGGGGTCCTGCGCGGCAGCTGCCTCCCTGGGGCCAGCGCCGCCTCCGTCGTGTCCGGCTGGGCCCTGCCGCCTCCCTCCCTCACTCCAGGCCTCCCTGCGGAGTTCACGGTTGATTGAGCTGACTGGGTCGGCCGACAGCCTTCCGCAGGCTCGCTAGGAAGTGGCCGCTGGTGCCCACGGGGTTCGCGAGAGGCTGCGAGCCAGCTGAGTCAGAGTGGCCAGTGGTCACGCAGCCTCGGACCCAGCGAGCAGTGGGCCGGAGCCCGTGTCTGCCGCGGCCGGCTGGGTGATGGTCAGCAGAGCAGTTAAGCTGCGCTGTCCGCCTCTTTGCGTACAAATGGCTGTGGGTTCTGACCTCTGAGAAGCCCCTTCTCGTCCCAGGCACCATGTGGCGCCGCCGCCTCAGAGCCCCGGCCCCCCACCCCCGCACCCCCGCGGCATCGCCCAGGGCTGCCCGCGAGCTGCCAGGTGGGCTCCTCCCAGGCTGGGCTGCCAGCAGGGAACAGACGGGGCCTCCGTGGCGGCCTGGCAGGTCCTCCTGGTGGGGGCAGACGTGCTGGAGTGGCCTGGCCCAGCCTCCCGCCCTGCACCGAGGAGCCAGGTCTGCGCCCGCGGGCTCAGTTGATGCGTGAGGCCCCGTGTGCTCCCTGTAGGCATCGGGCTGACAGAGTCCCTGGCGATGACGCCTGCTTCCGCAGTGTCCGGCCTCTACTTCTCCAACCCGAAGTCCAAGTACTTTGCTGTGGGGAAGATTTGCAAGGACCAGGTGGGTCAGGTGTTGCACTGTGAGTGTCTTCCCTAGACCCATCCTGTTCTGAGAGTAGAACCTCATCTTAATGCTAGTGTGAGCGAGAAGCACACGAGAGCCTTCACGTCATGTCAACCCGTCACCCCAGCTCTAGCCCCCCGACACTTCAGCCACTCCGTAAGCGCCAGACATCACCACATGGGGATTTGTCACCCAGAGACTAAGCCTCTCGATGTATCAGTAAATGTGTGTCTATTTCGGTAGCCAGCTCCTGAGGCGAAGAGTGGGGGATACGTAAGGTCCCTTGGCAAATTCTGTAGGCATTTCGGCTCACCACAGTTTTATTGTTTGCTGCAAAGCCGCCCTCGTCTCCTGCAGGTGGAGGACTATGCTGCGAGGAAGCGCATGTCTGTGGCCGAGGTGGAGCGGTGGCTGAGGCCTGTCCTGGGCTACGACGCCGACTAGCTCTTCACGCAGCCAGCGCCACACACGATGGCTCCCCCAGGTGCCTTCGCGGGGCAGCCAGCCCCGGCTTCCAGCACCGCGAGCGGCTGCGCCCCAGGGCAGGTCTCCCCAGCTCCTGGACAGCGAGCAGCTGCTTCTAGGGCAGCGAATGTTGCGCAGCGAGGACCTGCAGACCCAGCATCTCTTCGCGAGGGCGTGGTGGGGATAGAGGCCGTTCGCATTTCAGAGCAGATGTGCCTGCCTCCCCGTTTGCCCTGGTGGGGGCTGCTTGCTCCTGTTGCCTCTCACACTCCTGCAGCGCCCCTGAGTAGAGAGATGTGGCCCTGGCACAGTGATGTCCTGATAATGGGCCTTTGATCTGGGGGGCCCGGCAGGGCCCTGAGCGGGCCCAAGGTGAGACGGCGCCCCGCGGCCCCGCGCTCCAGACCCGAGAGCGGCCGCCCGTCCCCGTGCAAAGACGGCCCTGGCCCCGCTTGCTGCAAACCTCAAGCCACGCACCTGGCGTGGCCAAATACAGCCCTGCTGTCCAAGTGCCTCTGTCCTCGTGATTTTGAGTCTCTTTCCCGACGGAGAACAGGGCGGCCGGTCGGGCGTCACCACGCTTCACTGCCGTCCAAGTGGCCGGTCCCGCCGAGCCTGGGCATACCGCTGCGCAGGTGGTCGGAGCTTCGGCCCTCTGCAGCCCGCCCTGCTGGCCCCGCGCCAGCCGACCGCCGGGTCTCAGCACAGGCTGGGGCCGCGGTTAGGGGCAGCCGGGCTGCAGGCAGACGGAGTGGCCGGTGCCACTTGCGCCAGGGAGGTTCCAGGTGCAGCTTCCTAGTGCTGCGTCGCTGGGGCCGTCAGGGACAGGGGCAGTGACACCAGTCCTGCCCGGCGTGAGGTGTGGACCCAGCAGAGGGGCCAGGGCGCGAGGAACCACGGGGCAGTGCCTGCTGGCTGGCGCAGGGCCGCGGGGCAGCCGGGGTGGGGGTGGACAGGAGCGGGGTGCGGTGATGCGGGTGGAGCCACTGGGCCCTCTGGGGCGGCGCCAGTCGCGGCCTGGACAGGAGCCACCCGTCACCGGCCTGGCCGCCTGCTTCAGCACAGCCGGGGACCCTGAGCCAAGAGTGGCTACGCGGCGGGAAGCCTGTCCTCACTGCCCCCAGGCAGCGTGGGGCGGCCGCTGTGGCCCGCTGAGTGCTGTATGCTTCCTTGAGGTGACTGGAGGCGGGATAAGGAAACTTGTCTGGCACGATGCTGGTCGACCAGCACGTGCTGAGAGGCTGTGATACTTCTACAGAAACAGTCCAGCTGGCTTGAAAACTATTTCAACTTCCGCCCTAAGTTAAAAGTCCTTTTTGTAAACGGAAGGCCACGCCGTGGCTCGCTCTTGCTCCCGTCTGGTGCTGGCATGAGGCGGTGCAGCCCAGGTGATGGGGGCGAAGGGGAAGCGTGTCGCATTCTCCTTTCTCGATGAAGCTTCATCTGTCTGCCGCGGGACAGTCTTCCTCAAGTCTTGTCAAGACAGGACGTTTGAGCTGGATACAACTCAGAGACAGGAGGGGGAGGCTTGGGGGGCCGGGGTGCACGGAGAGTAGCGGTGTTGACGTGGGCAGGGCTTTTCAGAAACTAACATCTTCATTTCCTCGGCTAGAGGCGATTTTCTCGTGACTGAAGACGTGGAAGGCGCCGCCGGGGTGGTATTGGGGGCAGGGCTCCCTGGGCGCTATCCTGCCACAGAGAAGCGCGGGCATGAGGAGGCGCGTGAAGACAAACGTGAGCCAAGGAAGGCGAGTGAGTGACGCAGGAAGAGGAGGTGTGGACAACAGGGGCGAGCAACGCACGGGTGTTCAGGGTGCAGAGGGAGGTGCTCAGAGGCGCCACACACAAGCATCCTCTCCCGCACACGCCGCACAGGGAAATTTTGGAAGCCACGACTGGGTCTCTCTTTCCTGGGGATGACTTTTACCTAAATGACCTAGAAAGCTGAGATCAAGCTATATTCTGACCCAAATACCACCAGAACTGTTTCAGTTTCCTCCTCAGTTTTGTCGGGGATGGCCACGCCCTAGTTCGCCAAGGTAAATTAGATCGTAGCCAGTGCAGCCAGGGGTTCTGCACTAACTAACTCTGCAAAGATGAAGTTTCCGTCTCATTTTAAAGCGCCCTCACGTTTTAGTTCTTCGTGATCCTCAGGCAGATACTGCTGTGGGCACCGCGCCCTTCACCGAGAGCTGCTGCATCCACGCGGTGTCCTGGTGTGCGCGACCCTGCTGGCACACGCGCCCTGTCTGACGCTCACACCTTTACCCTTTGTACCTGTGACCTGCTTCGCGAGCGTTTTCACAAGTCATGTTTGAGAAGGAATCAGCCTCCCCCTAGCTTGACCAACCCCCTGCTCGCTGGCTCTTTCCACACTGTGTCCTGTCCCTTTAGTCAAAGACAAAAGTGAAAACAACGTGTAAAATTGTGGTTGAGTAGCCACTTCCCAGCCGTGGGCCGGACGGCTCGACCCTGCTGAGCGGTCCATCTCCCAGCCTGATCTGTAGATTCCTCACAGCCATCCAGGAACGTCACTGTGGCACTCACACTCCGACTCCCAAGTCTGAATGAGGCGACGGAAGACCAGGAGGAACCAACGGTCAGTGCTTGTCTGGGAGGTCGGTGGGCACGTGCTCCTGGTTCTGCTGACTGGAACCCCACCAGCATGCTGAGAGGCAGAGAAAGCCATGAGACAAGAGGCAAAGTGACCCCTAAGGCCCATGTGGCCGCCTAGCCCTGCCCTCAGTGACCTTCTTTTCTTCCTCTGACTGCCCTTGAGGACACCAAAGAGGATTGCTGGGTCATATGGAAGCTCCATGGTTAGCAGTTTGAGAAACCTCTAAGCAGCTTTCCATAGTGGTTGCACCAGTCTGCACTCCCACCAGCGGTGCAGGAGAGCGCCTTTCTGTCCACACCCTCGCCAACATTGGCTGCTGCCAGCTGTTTCAAGATGTGCTGCTCTCACTGGCCATGCCATGGATTTCACACACACACACACACACATAAACACACACCCCGTCTTCTTTATCTGCTATCGGCACTTGGACTGCTTTGCTACTTTGCTATGATAAGTGATGCAGCAGTGAACCTAAGGATGTAACTATCTGTCCAAGTTGGTGTAAAAACCTGGAATGGAATCACGGGCTGTAGCGGTAGTTGCTTTCCGCAACACTTGTGTCCACAGCTGTCCCCACTGGCAAGACGCAGAAATGTTCTTTTCTCCACAACCTCATCCATAATTGTAATTTCTTGTCTTTTTTCGCTTTTTGAGGTAGCATTAATTTCCAACACCTTACAGGCTTTGGGTTACAGTTTCGCACCTCAGGAACTGCATCTATCACAGCGCACTCGGCACCAAGCTGTCCCTTGTTTTGGCCACCATGGTGGCCATGCTGACAGGTGTGAGGTGACAGCTCACTGGCTCCGAGCGGCATTTCCCTGGTGACGAAGCCCTGTGCGGCACCCTTCACAGGCCCGCTGGCCGCCCGCACGTCTGGTTGAGATTTATGAGCTCTCCCCTCCCCCAGCCATCACTTCCCTGACGACTCAGGGCCAGACTAAGGTGAGCCAGGCGACATGACAGTTCTGTTAGTCGAGGACAGTCAGGATTATAGCTCCTCACTAGAAACTACATAAAACTCAGTGCTAGTGACTTTGTGGACCAATCAGACCACACTTGCAAAAAGTAATTATTTATAGTCAAGAACACTTCATATAGACCGAGATTAAAGTTTTTGTTTCTTTTCAAAAAAGAGATTGGCAAGGGGGAACATGCTTGCTGGGGCGGCCGTGGTTAGGCCTTTCGGTGTTAATAGTGTCTGCTTTCTAAATATGCTCATGGAAAAGTCCAGGTAATCTAATCTGTGTTTATAATTGGCGTCATCATTTTAGTGTATGTGGAACACTTCTGAGTACTGGTGGAGTCATACAGCTCCGAACTTAGCTCTTTGGGGTATAAATAGAAAATTAAAAAAGTTATCTTAATTGGGTGACTGATCTGTCTCACGAGGGGTCAGACAACTTCCTTGTCACCCAAGTTGATCTCACGGCTTACAGACATTCACCCAAGGACGGCAGGGCCAGCTTCTTCACCCTTCCATCCACAGCCACCCCACTTTTCCTCACCAGCTTCCACCACAGGGGTCTGGACGACTCCCGAAGACCCACCCAGCTCTGTTTCTCAGATAACCCGCCCCTGAAGCAGCGTGCACGAATAGTCCTGCACCTCCTGTAACAAGATCCAGCATGACCGGGCCGTGCTGGGCTCTGAGAGACGCCAGGATCCCCAGGGAAGTCAGCTGCTCTCAGAGAGCAGCTCCTTCCTGGATTCACTGTTTTTTCTTGAAATGTCACACAGGGATATGGAGTGGGTGGCTGACCCCCCCAGGTCCTGTTCTCCACCCCTGGAAGAGGTAGACGATAGCAGAACCTAGTAAGTCCCATGCAGCTCGCTGGAACGGACGCCATCACACAGTCCCAGCGAGTGGCTGAATGTTTAGGATGCTCCTGCCCTTCAGCCACAACACTGTCGCCTGTGTCCTGAGAATCCAGCTCCGCTGGGATGCTGGCCCTGGCCAGAAGTTGGCACTAGCAGTCAGCTCCTGGAGCCTTGGAGTCCCAGCTTCCGGGTATCCGTCCGGTACCTGCCTCTGCTCATGCCCTCAGTTGTACGCGGGGACACTGAGCCTTGGGCGATGGCCAAGCTGGTCAGTGCCAGGCACTACCGTCAGTGACCACCAGGCATTGTTAGCGCTTGCATAGGTTTTCTCGTTTGATTGTCAGGATAAACTCTCTTTTAAAATTTTATTTTGTATATTTTTTGCATCATTTTTCACTTTTGTACCAGTGTGCTTTCTCATCCCACTGGGTATAGTCCCGGTGAAATTCCCACCACCGATTCCCCTGGGCACCATCACCACAGCCCCGTGTGCTATTGCCACCCTGTGCGGATACTGTTCCCCTCTCACTCCCTGCAGGATGACTGGTTTATAGTTGCCTGTTGACTTTCATATTTACTTTATTATAATTTTCCATATCTACTTGCTTATAATTACTCGCTTTTTTTCTTGGTCCCTTATTTGGATCTTCTACATTCCTCCTAAGACTGAAACCATCTGGTATTTCCCTTTTCTTTTTGGCTTATCTCCTGGACACGACCCCTTCCAGCTCCATGCATGTTGCTGTGAAGGGCATGACGTTATCTTTTTGATCGTCGAGTAATATTCCACTGCATATATAGACCACATCTTTCTTGATCCAGTCATCCAATTTTGGGTACTTGGGTTGTTTCCACAGCTTACCTGTTGTGAATAGTGCTGCAATATACATAGGGGTGCAGGTGTCCTTTTGAATTAATGTTTTTGTGTCACAATAACAAGAATCCTCCTTCCCTTTTTGCGGTTGAGAAGACAGGGTCAAAAAATACAGGTGACTGGCAAGGATATATAAAGAGCAAGTGAAAGGTGGAATTCAGAGCCAAGGCCACATGAAACCAAGTTCATGATTTAAACTATT